CTTATGAAAAGATGATCAACACTGTTAGTCACTAGAAAGATGCAAATCAGTGCACCTGGCTGCCTCAGTCAGAAGAGCATGCAACTCTTAATGTCAGGGTCATGAGTTCAAGCCCCATGTTGGGTGTAGGGATTACCTAAATATATAAACTTAAAGAAAAAAAAAAACTTAAAAAAAAAAGATGTGAATCAAAACCACAATGGAATATCACTGCACACAAGAAATTTCCAGGAGATAAACAAAATGTGGTATATAACATACAATGGAATATTTATTCAGCCATAATAAGGAATGAAATTCTGATCATGCAACAAAATGGATCAATCTTGAAAATATTATGTTAAATGGTGTAAGCCAGACATATAAGGATAAATATTGTATAATATCACCGATATGAGGTACCTAGAATAGGCAACTGAGAGAAACCAAGAATAGAATAGAGGCTACCAGGGGCTAGGAATAGGGTGAATGAGAAGTCATGTTTAACATACAGAATTTAAGAGGACTAAAAAAAGTTCACTAATAGATAATGATGATGGTTGCAAAACACTGTGAATGTACTTGATGTACACTTGTACTTGTATATTTAAGGTTATTTTACCACAATATAAATAAGTAAATAAAATTTTAAAAGATAAACTCACATTTATTTTGACCCAGCTCCCACTTTGGAATTTCCTTTTATCAGCCAAAAACACTACTTTGCATATCTCACCTTTAACCCTAAACTTAAAGTTTCAACCCCAACTGGCTCACAGTATCTTCCATATTGCTCACATCTGCCTCTTCATCTTCATTTCTTATCATCACCTGCATGAATCTTCCACCCTCTAGCTAACTTTTCTGAACATCCATTTTCTTGATCACCCTGGCCTAAACAACTCTGTCTCTCTAAGTTCTATTCTTACTTCAAGTTCAACTAAGGTTCCACGCCTCTTCTTGCAGCACATATAGCCAGCACTATTCTGGCTATATGGACAGGTACTCCTGATATATAGCTTTGCACCCATAAAGAAATAACTGGGAATTCTAGGGAGACAACAGTCTAAGCCATCCCTGACTCCTCCTCTCTCTCCTAACTCCTTCATTCCTTGGTTCCTGGGGGATATAGATGTATTTCTCAGGTTCTCTTACAGTTAGATGTGGCCATGTGACAGAGTTCTACCCAATGCAATGTGAATAAAAGTGTGCCATTTCCAGGCCTGGCCCATAAAAATCCTTAGCATGATTTCCCATGTTTTTCCTTCTGGTCAGCAGAATAGAATCAACTTCCATGGAAGCTATGTTCTAAAAATGGCAGAGTCTTTGCTGTCCAAGGTCCTAAGAAATCACAAAGAGGAGGGCTGTCCTGCAGGGCTTTTCAGATCAGCGGCTCATTACTGTTTCATAAGTATAATAAAGATCACTGTGTGGAGTCATGATACTACCTTCCCTAATGAAATAAAAACACAATAAAATAATAATAACAAAAACTATAAACTGAAAAAGAGAACCACTTTTCATATAGTTCGCAGTCTACAATGTGTAAATGAGAGCCCGATCTGATCTGCTTAGGGTTCTATTTGTTTGTTGTTTGTTCTTTGCTTGCTTTATAATAAAGAGCTAAGTGTGATTACCAATGCCTAGAAGGAGTTCTGCCACACTGCCCAGAGTCTACTGGCTACTTAAGGGTTGGGGGAGCTCAGACAGCTAAACCAAGCATTTCCCACAGCATATTCATAGGGGCCTCTCAAGCCCCTACAGGCGTTCTCAAGAGCTACAGAACAGTTCTACATGCAGTTTTAAACATTTACATTAAATTCTGTACCCTAAAGAAATGATACACATTCTTCTCCAGGACCACAGAACACTTTTTAAAGCAAATATGTACTACCATTTTCTAACCACAATTAAATCTTTAAAAATCACCAAAAAATTTAACAATTTGGAAACTATAAAACATTCTTCTAAATCAAATATGGTATCATCAAGTAAGAGACTAATAGACAAAAAGTCCCAGAAGTTAATAGAGAGACTGACAAAAAAAATTAAAAAAGGAAAATAAGTAAAGGAAATGAACAGACATGCAAAAGAAAACATGCAAATGACCACAAAACAGAAATGATCCTGAACCTCACTAATCATAAGCAGTAAAATCAGTTACTCTTCTTCATCTCATTGAAGACTGACAACCACGCAGTCCTGGTGAGGATGCAGAAAAACAGGCATTATGATTCTAATGTGACATGCGATGAATATTGGGGAATGTAAATCTAAGAATAACTATTAAAAATTTTAAATACAGGGGCGTCTGGATGGCTCATTCAGTTGGGTATCCAACTCTTGATTTCGGCTCAGGTCATCATCTCAGGGTCATGAGATTGAGCCCTGCACCAGGCTCTGCACTCAGTGGGGAGTCTGCTTGGGATTCTGTCTCCCCTCTCCTGCTGCCCCTCCTCTCACTTGTACACGGGTGCTGGCGCTCTTCTCTCTTTCCCTCTCTAAGATAAATAAAATCTTAAAAAAAAATTTAAATACAAATGCCCTTGACACAGAATCACAGTTTTGGAATTCTACTCTATAGAATTAAAAGCATCAGTTAACAAAAATACATGAACACAGATATTTACTAAAGGATTAAATGTAATGTCAAAAAACTGAAAAAAAATTTAAGTATTCATCCATTCACAGTGAAATGGCTGAGTAAATGAGGCTCATTAGTGTAATAGAATATTACCTAACACTTAAAGGAATGTGTTATCAACTATTCTGAGGAACAGCCGAGATATACTCTTAGGTAAATAAAGCAAGATGCAGAGTAATGTGTATACAATGACTTCATTTTGGGATGCCTGGCTGGCTCAGTCAGTGGAGCATACAGCTCTTGGTCTCAGGGTCATGAGTTCGAGCCCCAGATTGGGTAGAGAGAGTACTTAAAAATATATTATATGACTTCATTTTAAAATATAACCATCACCACACTATGTATGTATGTGTATTTTCATTTGAATGTTTGTATGAGCAAGTAGATACAAAAGGAAGGATACATATCAACCAACCATTAATACTGGTTGGCTCATAAGTAATGTGACTAGGAAAGAGTGAGAATACATTAAAAAAAAAAATACTTTTTTTTAATCCAGAAAGATTTTAAAATCTAAGTTTTTTAACCTGGAAAAGTACTAAGAAATATATAAAAGTATATTTCAAAAATCTTGGGATGTTCCAGATACAAAGGTCACATATTATATGATTCCATTTATATGAAATATCCAGAATAGGCAAATCCATAGAGACAGAAAGCAGATCAGTAGTTGCCAGAGTCTAGGTGAGACAGGAGTAAGGAGTGACTGCTAACAGGTACGAGGTTTCTTTCAGGAATGACAAAAATGTTCTTGAATTAGATTGCAGTGACGGTTGCACAACTTTTTGTATATGCTAAAAACCACTGAATTGTACACTTTAGAAGAATGAATTTATGGTATGTGAATTATATATCAATAAAATGAATAAATAAAATCTTGGTTAGGAACAGTATGACCAAAAAAACTAAGAGACAGAAAAAGACAGAGTTGACTACTACAAATTTTAAATATCTAAATAGCAAAAAACAAAAACAAAAAAACCCATAAACAAAGTTTAAAAAAAGAAACTAAGTAAAAAGTGTACATACAACACACACCCTACACATCAATAAAGAACAAACAATTCGAGCGCCTGGGTGGCTCACTCGGTTAAGTGTCTGCCTTTGACTCAGGTCATGATCCCAAAGTCCTGGGATCGAGCCCTGTGTCGGGCTCCCTGCTCAGTGGCGAGTCTCCTTCTCCCTCTCCCTCTCCCTCTGCCCCTCCGCCTACTTGTCCTCTCTCTCTCAAATAAATAAAATCTTAAAAAAAAAAAAAATTCAATGGAAAATGAGAAATTCATAGAAGATATACAAATAATCAATAAACATTTGGAAAGATGTAGCTGTGATTATTCAAATATAAGTTCACCTAAGAGTAATACTGAATTTATAATAGCTTTTTACCTCTGTTTATTTTCCCAATAAACAGAAACCCTCCCAAAATTTACTCTTTTGACAGGCTCCAAAGCAATCTAACATGAAAAACGGTATCCTCACAATGGAAGAGCGAGGCTACAGACCTAAGTGGTGTACCACAGCATCACAAACTCTAAAGGATTACCTAAGTTCATTTATTTAGCCATCTATTGCATAAATTCCCTATCCAATATTTCTACAAAGTATTGAATCATTCCACTGATTCTGAACATCTCCATCCACAGGCAAGTCATGCAGGAGCCCATTTCATGTTCACTCAGCTAAAAGTATTTCTCCCAAAGTGGCAAAAATAAATAAATAAATAGGAAAAAAAGAAACAAAGAAACAAAGAAAAATCAATTACCAAAACAAACTGAATAAAGAAATTCAAATAAAACAGTAAGATTAACACCCTACCCTGCTCTATTTTTAAAAAATTTTAAGAGTCCCTTAAAATTAGCAGTTGTTATAGTACCAATTTCACTATAGATAGCGTATGTGGTATCCTACCTTCCTAATAAAATGCTATGAAAACTGTTCTAAAATATCTGAAAATAGTTACTAGACAATTTCATTAGCACCAAGTAGATACACCACTAAGTACATGCAAATAACACAAAAGTGATGGATTCTAATAGGGCAACCATTGCTGTAATTGTTATAGAAACTACATTTCACTGACAGAAGTATCACTTAGTCTTCTCTGGTATCACTTAGTCTTCTCTGGTAAAAAAATGAAACTAAAGAATTGTTTTAAAATCTTTAATTAATGAGGGTATCATTTATTTTCCCTTCAAAAGAATTTTTATATGAGTATGTCTCTGCCAAGGCCAGCAAACAAAGAGACCTAAAGTGATAATTAGAAATGGTCCCCTGAATTATTGTGCTTACAGAATATTAAGCCTAAAGTCATACACACCTTGATTAAAATGAACTAGATGACATCTGGACATAATGGAAATAACTTTGCCCTCCTCACCTTATTCATGTTGTTTTCATCAACCACATCCTTGGATATATCCTGGATTATTTCTGGACACAAGATAAGGAGAATGATTTGTAGTGGCCAAACCGCTGCTTTACGTTTGGTGCTTTCAGCAAAACCATCCACCAAGTCAAACAGTTTTTCTGCACACTCTATGTGAAAAATACAATTAAATGATATTACTAAATGAGAATATCTCTGACATTAAACTAAAAGCCAGCACTATCCAAAAACCCAAAGGTCAAATTTTTTAAAGATAAACTGGAAGTTCATTTAAACAAATTTCAGGTAAGCAGACAAGCAATATTATATTGTCTATGTATTAAAAGAGCTATTTTGGGGCACCTGGGTGGCTCAGTCAGTTAAGCGTCTGCCTTGGTTTTGGCTCAGGTCATGATCTCATGGGTTGTGAGATCAAGCCCCACATCAGGCTTTACGCCCAGCTGGAGTCTACTTGGATATTCTCCTCCTCTGCCCCTGCCCCCATGCTCTCTCTCGCTCTCATTCTCTTTCAAATAAATAAATAAATCTTTTAAAAATAAATAAAAAAAATAAAAGAGCTATCTTGATCCATCCTAGAAAAGGTTACATTTCAGAACAGACAAACTTGTGTTTAGTCTCAATGTGCAGGGCCTTTTGCAAAGTGTGATGTACACAAGAAGTAGACTGGACAACTTCTCACAGGGAATCATCATACTCTCCGGATTCTGTATTCTCTGCATCACAGTTGTATCTCAAGAATTCTAAGTAAGGATATTACTACTTTATACACATCTCCCTAAATACAAAATGAAGCCTCAGAGCACAAAGAGTACTTCTCTACAAAGAAGAGCCATCAAATATCAAATCCACAACTCTAAAGATGAGAGCTTTACTCCAAACTGCTTTTGCAAATTTGCTCAAAGGAAAGAAAAGCATTGAGGGAAATTTTGAAATATAAGAGAAAAATAATATTTCCTATTTGACATCAGCTGACAAGATGTAAAAGCACCTTAACATAAATAATCTGGAAAGTGATAGGCTTTTACCTCATAAGGAAGAGTTTAAAAGATGAATAATCTTATTCTTACCAGCCATATCAGTCTGTGGAATCTGGTATAGCTTTGTAAATTCATCTGGATAATTTTCTACCCAGTTCCAAAATGCCTATAAATAACAAAACATATGCTTTTATATGAAAGCAGGGGTATCTTCAAAATATAGTAAACAAAATGTCACACAACCCCAATTATATTACAAACTTCTCATTTCCTTCGTAAGAATACTGTAATGCATGCCTCCTAAATATTAATGTGAAATTATCACTGAAGTCATCACTTCTGATTCTAATAGTAAAGACAGCAATATTTACAAGCAAAATTTAACAAAATTTTAATATCAAAGAGGTTATAACTTACTTTTTCCAGGCTATTTATAACTGCTAACTGTGCGACCTTCTTTAGGGCTTTAAATTTAAATGCAGTTTCTGGGGGAAAAAAAATTTTTTAATTAACTCTAAGATTAGTTAACACAAATTCAGAGCTACTTGTAAAAACAAACAAATAAACCAACTAAACTTTCCTTTTACATACAAACTTTAGTTCCAGTATTATTTATAAGCAATGTGAAGGTAAAGACAATTAATATAAACCAAAAATTCACTGATTATGTCCACTAAAGACAAATTTGAAAAGCAAACATGCCTTGAATTTCAAAGGTTCTTGGTTTGGTTTTTTTTAATAATAATTGATTTTTAAAGTATAAAACACATGGTCATTGTAGAAAATTTAAAAAATACACAACATTCTAAGGGGAATTTAAAACATCATCCATGATTCGTACCATTCAGAATCACAGGTAACAGTGTGATGAACTTTCTTCCACCCCTTTTCGTACGCAAGTATAAGACAAATATATTTACCACAACTGAGATCGTAAAGGCTAAACCAAACCTGTTCTCTTCATTTTATGTAGTATCCCAAATTTTTTCCATATCATTAAAAATTCTTCATACATATATGATGACTCTAAATATGATAGTAACTATAACTTAACAATTACAACAAGCCAGGTATTTTTAATCTAATGTATTTCTTTCAAAATCTTAATATTTTCAGATATTATAAATGAGCAAATTGTGTTTCTGAGGTTACAGATCTAACAAACTATTGAATTGGGTTTCAAAGCCACAGTCTGTTCAAGTATGCTCTGGTGTCTTTCAGCATATTTAAGTCAATATATTAAGTCACTGGTTATTTAAACATTTTCCAATTGTATGTTTAAGATATTTCTAATATATCATTATTATATATAACACTAATAAACACTTTTATATCCAAATATTTTCCATATTACTGTTCATTTCTTTAGGATAAGATCTAGAAGTAGAATTATCTGGTCAAAGAGATGAATATTTTTTAAGGCTCTTGATAAATATTGCCAAGCTGATTTTCAGAAGGGTTGGGCCAAATGTCACTCACACCAAGCAGCATATGAAAGTAGCCTTATCAACATTCTTGTCATCATAAAACATGTTTTTGTTTTTATTTTGCTAATTTGATTGTTCAAAATAGTGGACTGAACTTTAAAAACAAGACTAAACATTTCTCCATATGAATGTATTAGATATTTTTATTTCCTCTTCCGTAAATGTGTTGTCCCCATCTATAAAAAGATTTATACCTGGAAAAAATGAACCTTCTATAAACTATTTTACTGGTAACAGTCCTTTGGCAGAAAACTCTGCCTAGGGACTTTGCTTGTTTTAACTGAGGTATAATTGACATACAACATTATATTAGTTTCAGGTATACAACATAATGATTCAGTATTTGAATATATTGTGAAATAATCACAGTAAGTTTAGTTAACATCCATTACTATATGTAGTTACAAATTTTTTTTCTTGTGATGAGAACTTTTAAGATCTACTCTCTTAGCAACTTTTAAATACGCAATCCAGTACTATTAACTATAGTTCCATGCTGTACATTACATCCCCATGACTTTTTATAACTGGAAGTTTTTACCTTTTGACTCCCTTCACCTATTTTGCTCACTCTCCCATCCCTTGCCTCACGTCTGGCAAACACCACTCTGTTCTCCATATCTATGAGCTTGGTTGTTGTTTTTTTTTTTTTTTAAGATTCCATATATAAGTGAGACATACAATATTTGTCTTTCTCTGTCTGACATATTTCACTTAGCATAATTCCCTCAAGGTCCATCTGTGTTGTCACAAATGGTTAAGATTTCCTCCTTCTTTATGGATGAATAATATTCCATTTTAATATAGAATACACATATTCCATTTTATGTATCTTATATATAAGATATAAAATATATTTTTAAACATATGTATAAACATATATGTACATTTTAAATACATACATATATTTCACATCTTCTTTATCCATTCATTTGTCAATGGATATTGAAGTTGTCTCCATACCTTGGCTATTGTAAAATAATGCTGCAATGAACACCAGGTATATATATCTTCTCAAGTTAATGTTTTCATTTTCTTTGGATAAGTACCAAGAAGTGGAATTGCTGGATCATATGGTAGTTCTCCCTTTAATTTTCTGAGGAACCTCCATACTGTTTTGCTTGGCAGCTGTGCCAATTTACATTCCCACCAATAGTGGACATTCTCACCAACTTATTATTTCTTGTTTTGATAACAGCCATTCTAAGAAATGTGAGGAGATACCTCACGTGGTTCTGATTTGCACTTGCCTGATGATGAGTAATGCTGAACATCTTTCATGTACCTGTTGGCCTTCTTTGGAAAAATAGATATTTTTGAGGTCCTCTGCCCATTTTTAATCACAATATGAGGTTTTTTTGCTATTGAGGTGAGAGTTTGTCACATATTTTGTATATTAACCTCTTATTAGATACATGATTTACAAATATTTTCTCCCATTCAGTAAGCTGCCTTCTCATTTTGTTGATGCTTCCTTTGCTGTGCAGAAGCTTTTAATCTGGTATAGTCCCACTTGCTTATTTTTATTTTCGTTGCCTCCTATGGACTTTTAATGGAGGGATACAGGTACTTACTATTTTTATATAAATATCTTTCTAAGAGATGAGTCTTTGAGTAATAAAACTGTCTAAACATTTAAATGTCCTTTTTTCTGGACTTGGAATTGAGTGATTTGTTCTCTAAGTCAGTTTTAAAATGTATTCCTACAACTTCCCTTGCTCTTGCTCTCCTTTGATTTCCAAATAATGGCATTATACTTCAAAGTGCTCTTGAGCCTTTTTGCCTTCCCACGTTCATTAACTTTACCTTTACGACACCATGAATATGTTATACACAGTAGTCTATTCTTAATTCCAAAGTATATGCCTTTTATTATTCCAGTTGTACAAGTTTCTGACTGGACAGCCAACCCATACCTCAAAGGCAATAGATATAAAACTAAATTTATCATTTTCTTGGCTATGCTCTTTACTGCTATCAATCCTTCCTTTCCTTTCCCGCGTCAATCAGCTTGCTCTGTAATACTTGGTGATACTTCTCTTTAACCTCACGTATCTAAATCACCACATGTTAGGTGATGTATTTTATGTATTTTGGTGTACTCTACTTCCTAAATACCATTACCAAATTGGTTATCTACCCTACCCCCATTCCATTAAGACCTGCTCTACCCTCATTTTTCACTCACGTTACTATACAACCAAGTCCCAGAACTTCATGTAAACTTTTGCCATCCTGCAAATTTCAAGCAAAGTGGTATGTCTAAAATAAAATACTGATCCTGCCTTAAAGCCTTTCCATCACTTCCCATGGCCAGTTTTTTTTTAAATTATATAACCCATAAGCACAACTGTGTAACAGTTGGCTCTAGAGACAGGCTGATGCGATATGAATCTTCCCGTGCCACTCACTAGCTGTCTGACCTTGAAAATGATACTGATGCCTCAATTTCCTCATCTACATAGGGGATGATAATACTACTATGTGCTTCACAGGGTTCCTGTGAGGATGGATGAGAAAAGGCACGAAACTGCAGAGGATAATGTGTGGCACATGCTGAAAATGCAACAAATATCACTCTGCTTTTATTAACACAATCTGGCCGGCTCTTGTACCTCCATATTTTGCTCTTTTCCTCTTAACCAGTCTTACCCCCAAATACATACCTCTTCCCTCACTATATGCTCACCCTGAGTTTGCCACATTACTTTGCAAATAATTTGGTAATAATATATTTGTCTCATAAACCAGGTCATGAGCTCTGTGGAGACAGATTCAATACTTTATTAATCTTTGTAATCCTAGCACTTAGCATGGTTTCTTGAACACAGTTTCTTAACAAATGCTGTGCGTTTTATTTATTTATTTTTTATTATGTTCAGGTAGCCAACATATAGGACATCATTAGTTTTTGATGTAGTGTTCAACGATTCATTAGTTGTGTATAACACCCAGTGCTCATAAAGTGAACTTAAAACATATTACAGGAAGATACCACTCTTTTCACCATTGTCACCTACAGCCAACTTTTGCTGGCCTATTTAATACTGGCATTTTTATACTTTACACATTTATCAGCTATACTCTAAATTTACATTCATGAGACGGTTACAGTCAATAGGGATGACTTATCACAATAAAAAGAGACATTTATTTACACATTTAGTTTCTCTTATTTGGACATGGGGAACCATTTAAATTAATTATTACAGATTAAACATTTCTAAGAAAACTGATGTTTTAAACAAGTACCTACTTATGGGCAACCAGGACTAGATTTATTTCTGAAATGTCACTAAACAGTTACGAAAAATCACAAAAATCTGCTTATACTTCTTAAATTTTATACAAAGAGAAAATCTCTAAATTTTATCATCCTTAACTAACATTTAATGATAGACTCTAAGATCTTAAAAATTTCAACTGTGAACTGAATTGTGGTTTATTATAGTTTAAAACAATTGTTGTCCACTTAACATAATAGCTAAAATGATCCATTTTATTTCTTTATTAAAGTTACTGAAAGTGATTTAATTGTTGCTCGGTCTTATAATAGTAATGACCTAAAATCGGTAATAGAAATAGAACATAGCCTTATAGTATTGATCTACATAGACGTTTTTTCTTTTAAAGATTTTGTTTATTTACTTCAGAGAGAGAGAGGAGAGAGAAAGCACAAAAGCATGAGCAAGGGGCAAGGGGCAGAAGGAGAAGCAGACTCCCCACTGAGCAGGGAGTCTGACATGGGGCTCGAACCCAGGACCCTGAGATCATGACCTGAGCTGAAGGCAGACGCTTAACTGACTGAGCCACCCAGGCGCCCCTAGATATAGCCTTTTTACATCTCTGGTGAAACAGTTACTGAGTTTAAAGCAAATGTTAGGAAAACAATAAACAAGGTGTTTTGACAATTACATTGCAGAACTGTTGAGGTTTTCACAGTTAACATAACTAAATCTTCTTTTAGGTCAGACACTAAAAACATTTTTCATAATTCCTTAATCAATATACAAAGTAAAATTAAAAAGTGTGAATCATATACTGTAAGGATTCACATTTAAATTAGCTAGGATCCAATATTACACAAAACTAAGAAACAATTTTTGTGAAGTGAATTTATTTATACTCAGTTTATTAATAATGTTCATTAATATTTTATTTAATTAACACTTTCATGCTTATCACAAAAATTCTCTCAATTCCTTGAGACTGTTTATTTTAATCAACATAATCTTGCAAAGCATTTTCCAAAGCTTTAAAATCACATATTAAGGGGCGCCTGGCTGGCACAGTCGGTTAGGTGTCCCACTCTTGGTTTCGGCTGGGGCCATGATCTCGGGTCATGGGAGCAAGCCCACATCTGGCTCAAGCTCAGCGCAGAGTCTGCTTGGATTTCTCTCTTCCCCTTTGCCCCTTCCCATCCCCCCCTCTCTCACTCTCTGAAATAAATCTTTAAAAAATAAATGAAATCACATATTAAGCATTATAATGTCACCAGATGGGATTATAACTGAAATGTTCTACAAGGAAGCAAAAAGCACTGAAAAGGTAAGAGACTAATTCTGCAAAGTCAGTCAGAAAGTCAGTAACACACGTGAAAACACAAGTATCAGAAATGAGATGCCCGTCTCAATTCCTCCTATTGTCATAAAATCACAATCTTCTGGTTCCATTCTGCAATGGAACTTTGATATCCTGCTAAACAATCTGCTTTTGGCACTACAACAGCTAAACAGATAACTTCTATAACCTATAACTATCCTTAAGAAATAAAATTCTAGAAAAATTAAGTAACAGCCCCTGTATGTTCTCTTTGTTAAAGCAAAACTTGTAGTTGAACAAAACTTTCCATTACCAAGATTTAAGATACTCATTTTTTTGTTTTCAAAGGCTCAAAAATTATTGAACCATTAAGCATTATTATCCATTTCCCAAGAACATTTGCATTATAAAATCCACTTTGATGTTCTAGTTCAACACAATTAGGACAATTCATACATTCAAACACTGGTTTTTCACTCACAGTGATTAGTCTCAAATATATCTTACATTTAAACTTACCCTTTAGTAGTCGTTTTAATTTTGCACAATCCACATTGATATACTGTAACAATTCTATATCATGAACATCAACATTGTCTTCTGAACAAACAGTCAATTCCTGTAATCTGAAAAGTAAAAACCAAAAATAATTTACTATCTTAAGGAAAGTTCAAAATTCTGAACTGAACAGATTCTTCTCACCCCAATGATGAGTTTATAAGAAAAAATATACATAAAAAAATAAGACAATAGGGGCGCCTGGGTGGCTCAGATGGTTAAGCGTCTGCCTTCGGCCCAGGTCATGATCCCAGGGTCCTGGGATCGAGCCCCACATCGGGCTCCTGGCTTAGCGGGGAGTTTGCTTCTCCCTCTCCCTCTGCCTTTCTCCCTGCTCATGTTCTCTCTCTGTTTCTGTCTCTCTGTCTCTTTGTCTCAAATGAATAAATAAAATCTTTAAAAAAATACATTTAAAAAAAAATAAATAAGACAATAAATACTCCTTATAAGATTTACAGGTACATAACTACCTGGGAGATATGATAAAAGAAGCCAAGATAATCCAGTAGACTTCACTGTGTATACATAAATCAAATCATTATGTTGTACACCTCAAATTTATACAATTTTTATCTAAACAAAAAAATCACAGCATGCAGAGAACTACTGAAGCAGAGAGATACATAAGTATTTGAAATACCAGTCTCTGTGCTATGTGTATTTTTAAAATTTTTCTGTAATGAAAATAAATTTATTAACTTCTGATTACATCAATTAGACTTCAGAAACAAATGGTATTTTATCTACATCTATAGGATACATTTACTTCATATTGAAAAAATGAGTAAGCATTTATTCCTTGTATTTTTCACAATCTATATGTGTATTTATGTGATTATTTGATTAATGTCCCTCCCTCACAAAACTTATTCTTGTAAAGACAAGAATCTTTCCAAACCCCAAATTTCCCTTATACTAAATATGAAGTTACCACAAAAGCAGAAAAATTTAACACTTAACAAAAACAGATTTTGTTAAACTCATAAAAAAATTCACTTAAGTCTGAATAAAATTTTTCCTCCATCTCTCACTAACAACCACAGAAGTCAGATTTTCTTTTATTATTTTATTTGCTTGCTTTATTTATTGTCAATTCAATTAATTAACATATAACGTATTATTGCTTTCAAAAAGACGTCAGTGATTCATCAGTCTTATATAATATACAGTGCTCATTACATCACATGCCCTCCTTAACGCACATCACCCAGTTACACCATCCTCCAACCTCCCTCTGCTCGAGCAACCCTCAGTTTGTTTCCTATGGTTAAGAGTCTCTTATGGGGGATACCTGGGTGGCTCAGTCAGTTAAGTGTCTACCTTTGGCTCAGGTCATGATCCCAGGGTCCTGGGATTGAGTCCCACGTCGAGCTCCCTACTCAGTGGGAAACCTGCTTCTCCCTCTCCCACTCCCCCTGCTTGTGCTCCCACTCTTGCTGTGTCTCTGTCAAATAAATAAAATCTTAAAAAAAAAAAAAGTCTCTTATGGTTTGTCTCCCTCCCTGGTTTCATCTTGTTTTATTTTTTCCTTTCTTTCCCTATGATCCTCTTTTGTTTCTTAAATTCCAGATAATAGTGAGATCATATAATAATTGTCTTTCTCGGATTGACTTATTTTGCTTAGCATAACACCCTCTGGTTCCATCCACATCATTGCAAATGGCAAGATTTCATTTTTTTGATGGCAGAGTAATATTCCACTGCGTGTGTGTATGTATATATACACATATACACACCACATCTTCTTTATCCATTCATCTGTCAATGGACATCTGGGCTCTTTCCATAGTCTCACTACTGTGGACATTGCTGCTACAAACATTGGGATGCAGGGGCCCCTTCAGATCACTACATTGTATCTGTGGGGTAAATACCCAGTAGTGCAATTGCTGTGTGGTAGGGTAGCTCTATTTTCAACTTTTTGAGAAACCTCCATACTGTTTTCCAGAGTAGCTGCACCAGCTTGCATTCCCACCTACAGTGTAGGAGGGTTCCCCTTTCTCTGCACCCTCACCAACATCTGTCATTTCCTGACTTTTTAATTTTAGCCATTCTGACTGGTGTGAGGTGGTATCTCATTGAGGTTTTGATTTGGATTTCCCTGATGCCGAGCGATGTTGAGCACTTTTTCATGTGTCTGTTGGCCACTTGTATGTCTTCTTTGGAGAAATGTCTGTTCAGGTCTTCTGCCCATTTCTTGAATGGATTATTTGTTTTTTTAGGTGTTGAGTTTGATAAGTTCTTTACAGATTTTGGATACTAGCCCTTTATCTGATATGTCATTTACAAACATCTTCTCCCAGATTCTGTCAGTTGTCTTTTGGTTTTGTCGTCTTGTTTCCTTTGCTGTGAGAAGTCAGCTTTTCAAAAGCTGACATTGTTAATCTACTGAATTGTGCTTCCTAATGAGGAATACTCATTACTTCAATTAAGATATCAAAAATGTAAGCAGATGAATGGAATTACTAATGTTCATAAATGCAGAGAGGGACAGATATGGTGAAAAAGCACAAATACTACAAAATCTCACTCATAATATTAACTCGAATTGTGGCCATTTTAATGCAGTCTAAAACTGACATTAATCATCATACTAAACCTTCAGTTGCTAAAAATGATATCAATCCAATTTTTTCCTTCTCAAATTCCTTTTTCACTAACTTTAGCCTGCAGATGTATAGCTAACATTAAAATTATTCTAAGCACTTACACTAAAGCTCTTCATATCATCAGGGTGAGAAAAGCTTAGTAGTTCACACTGGGAATGACAAGGTCCTCAATACTGATTTACATGCTAAAAATTCCACAACTGATGCAAAGAGCCTAGGAAATATGGTATATGATTCCTTAGGAAATACAACTTAATAAATCAGCAACACCAACTTCTGAAAAGCTGACTCTTGCAGTTGTGAAAAAATGGAAAAAAAGTTTAATTCTTTTTACAGCCCAGTATTTCCATAGGGAAGGGGTATTTTGTGAGGCTTAAACATCATTTCTGAAGGACAGAAATCAAAGGGTAGTTGGAGCAAAAGAAGTAAAGTAGAAATCTTATTAAAACATCTAGAAAGACCAGGTACAACAAAAAGATATTTAAAATGTATAGAAATAAAATAAAATAAAAGTGCCTGGAAGGCTCAGTTGGTTAAGGTCCAACTCTTGATTTCAGCTCAGGTCATGATCTCAGGGTTGTGAGCTTGAGCCCCTCATCGGGCTCTGTACTCAGTGGGGAATCTGCTTGAGATTCTTTCTCTCCCTCTCCCTCTGCTCCTCCCCACCTTTCTCACTCTCTCCCTCTCTGAAAAAAAGGGAAAAAAAAAAAAAAAAGAAAGAAAGAAAATAAGATAAACACCCCCCATCCACCCAGGTGCAGAAATGAGAGGAATCTAAAAACCAGAGATGGTTTTGAAGACATGGTCTGACTTTGTGACAAAGGAAGCACAGGAGCTAGGTTTTTTCCTCTCCTTAACCTCAGGGTTTGTGGCTAACATCTATGTGGGACTGGATACAAAGCTTTATACCCTAATAATGCAGGGAATAGAACTGGGGCCCTGCAAAAAACATGACTAGCAAGAACTATGCAATTCCTTAAATGTGAGTTTCACAGAGAGAGATGGAATGAAAGGAGATAAAAAAATCTACTAACATAAGATGTCTGTCTGCTCCGGCTGTTTTGGGTAGGGGAAAAAGTCACCCAGAGCTGTTACCTTATAAGGGTTTGAGGTCCACATTTACATTATTCATACAATCTGGGAATGAGAAATTAACCAAAAACAAAAAAAAGTCCAGAGCTGGGCACTTAGCAAAAGCAAATGCAAAAACCATCACTAGGACACTCCCACAGCTACAAGAGATTCCCAAAGAAAATACAGATGTGCACTAGAGATGAATTTGTAATCAAAGTTTACAGAAAAGAGAGGAAACCATTCACTATGAATGAGAACTGGCACATACAAGTATATGAAATTATGTAGATCTTAAGAGAATATAAAATACGTTTTAAATGATTATAGCCATATAAAAATTTAAAACTATTAAGAAGAATAAGAAGCCATAAAATAAAATCAGATCTGTAAAAGAATCAAATGGAACTTTGGGTGCCTGGGTGGCTCAGTCGTTAACCATCTGCCTTCGGCTCAGGTCATGATCCCAGGGTCCTGGGATTGAGCCCCGCATCGGGCTCCCTGCTCCCTGCTCCATGGGAAGCCTGCTTCTCCCTCTCCCACTCCCCCTGCTTGTGTTTCCTCGCTCACTGTGTCTCTGTCAAATAAATAAATAAAATCTTTAAAAAAAAGAAAAAGGATCAAATAGAACTTTGGAGGCACCTGGATGGCTCAGTCAGTTAAGCGTCTCACTCTTGATTTCTGCTCAGGTCATGAGCTCAGGGTTCTGAAATCAAGCCCCACGTCGGGCTCCACACTGGGCATGGAGCCTGCTTAAGATTCTCTCTCTCCCTCTGCCCCTCCCCCCTTCTCTAAAAAGGAAAAAAAAAAAAAAGAATCAAATAGAACTTTTAAAATCACTGAGTCTTCTGCTTCTGGTATTATGTCAAATCAGATATTCTGCAGGACCCTCCTACTATAAAACAATTAGATCTAGTGCAACTGTACAGTAATTCTGTGGACATAGCAGCTCATCCTCCATATAAAAGAGTACCATGAGCCACAGAACATGGTATACTTCAGCAGAAGGATTCTTAAGATCTGTAGCCCATATTCCTTTAAAAAAAAAAATCAAAGGTCAGAAATATCAAAAGTTAATGTTAATCCTAAAAGAGAAACATTTGTGGACAGGTAGAATAGTCAAACAGTAAATTTTCATGATATTGGTTCATCTATTATATATGAGATACAAAATCAATCTTCAGAAAGAACTGCCATTCTAGGGGCACCTGGGTGGCTCAGTCAGTTAAGCGTCTGCCTTCGGCTCAGATCATGATCCCAGAGTGGGGATTCTGCTTCTCCCTCTCCCTCTGCCCCTTCCCCCTCCCCCACTGGTGCTCTATTGCTCTCTCAAACTCTCACTCTCAAATAAATAAAATCTTTAAAAAAAAGAAAGAACTGCCATCTAATCCCTTGTATATTTTAAGTCACCTAATGCTATGACAGCTATGATATCTACATCTAAATTAAACCATCATAATGGTCTTTTAGGTGAGTGGTCCTCTAACAAGATCAGCTCCTATTTCTGGCAAAAGCTACATGAAATGCAGTTGTCTAAAACATGTATTTCAAAGATCCCATTTCTGAGCAGTCTGTCCACTCCAAGCTACAGAAACTAGCTTATTCTGGAGACATTTAACTTCTCTTCTAGAAACAGTAAGGTTCAGGAAATACACAAAAGTTGTCTATATTTACATGCATTGATGCTGCAAAATCCTATAAAATGATACCTTTGGTGACTGGAAAATTTCTAGAGTTTTTAAAAGGTGGCACATTTGCTGTATTTTATAAAGCAACTTATGTTCGGATAGACTAAAAAATATTTTAATATTTCGGTAATTTTCACCTCCAATCTAAGATTATTTCAAATAGTGAGCTGGTATAGTAGTCACTTAAACAAAGGGGTTTTGTTTTTTCTTTTATAATTTTCAAACCTCCTCTTCCCTAGGTGTCAGTTACCTTGCTACTTCAACTAGTTTAATATTACTCAGAATATAAAATGTTATCCCTCAAAAGATTTCATGAAGACATTGTTCTATTGTATAAACATTACCTAACAGTATCAATCATATTATACCATTAAACAAAATTTAATTTTCTTTGCACCAGTTCTGATGAGGGATTGAAGAATACTGTTGCCTAGCATCATGACTATAGAAATACCATTTTTAATTAAAAAAACAGCAGGATTTTGAAGTTAGCCAAGTCCCCCAAAACACTATAGCACAAACTCTCAAATTATGATGCATATTCCATTCACACCTGTTGGAAAACAACAGAAGAATGAACAAAGCTGACTAATGGAAGTCCACTGTTCACACAACACAGACAAGTCAAAAGATGAAGGATGTATCAATAAACAAACAGGGCTGTTTTTCCACATTCTATATTAGTCTTACATTCACTAAATCACTAAGTGATTCATGTTATACTTCCTACTTGGTCATATTTAAGGACCCATTTGACTCTTCTTGCACGAGATGGCAAATCATTTGCATGAAAGCAAGTTCCAGAGTCACTTGCTACCATAGGTCATTATTCCATATAGCACCATCTATATACCAATTTCTTCACAACTGATGATCACATGGTGATTTTTAATCATCAATAAAAGCTTAAATCACATTTATCATATAATCCTGAAGCACAACAGTAAAAAAATCATAAAAAAGATTTCATAAAAATATGGTTAAAATGGAAGTATAGAGTAGCAGCCTGGTATAATGAACTTAATAGACTCTGAAACTGGTCTGATTTTAAAATTTGGGGTCCTCCATTATTTGGCAAAGTGCCTTAATAAATTCTTTAGGATTAGTTTACCTGTAAACTAGGGGAAGTAGCACCTACATTTCAAAGATACTATGAGGATAAAACAGCACAACATATGCTGTAAATACTCAAAAAATGGGAGCTTTTAGAATTCATACACTTAAAACACAGTCTACTTTCTGGAGAAGTCTACTTTGCAATTACTTGCTTGTGCTTCCATATCGTTAGGGTTTTTTTTTTTTTTTTTTGCTTGGTAACTTAGGATCTTGTGATAAAGAACAGAGCTGTGAGATCATTAGAAATCTGACTACTCTTCTCAATTATTCTATCTGATTAGCTAATTCCATTTAAAGGAATAATATTAAAGAGCCCAACCAAAAATTTATACCTAGTGTTAAAACAAAAACCTCATCATGAGTGATATGTTTTCCTAAAATTTGGACTTTCAACTTCATAACAGTACTCACATTTAATTGTACACACCAGTATCACAATATTGCATAATAAAAATGTCAAAGAAATCAATGTATAAAATTTATACAAAAGTCCAAGTCAAATTCATTTCTGTCAACTTTTTATTTTTATGCAGACAAAAGAAAGACTTCTAAAATTACATTACTTAACAACAGTTCTACATAGATTTATACACTAACCTGGTAGAAATCCGACTAAACACTGCATTGAAGTTGTTGCAGCTGAGAGAAAATAAAACGCCAGAGGCAGAATTCCGAAGTTCAGCGGCATGTTGGTTTCCTTCCCTACAGGTATGAAGAAAATGGCAGATTTCTGGCAGCAACTGTTTGACCAGCATTGTTTCATCTAATCTCATTGTGTCCTTTGGTTGCTGCAATAGAAATAATCACATAATTCTAAAACTTTGTTAAATTTACATGTAAAGATTTTCTGTATGAAAATTTTTTTTAATTTTATTTTTTTAATATTTTATTTATTTATCAGAGAGAGAGAGAGACAGAGGCAGGCAGAGGGAGAAGCAGGTTCCTTGCTGAGCAAGGAGCCCTATGTGGGACTCGATCCCAGGACCCTGGGATCATGACCTGAGCCGAAGACAGAGGCTTAACCGACTGAGCCACCCGGCGTCCCTGAAAATTTTCAAACAGACATAAGAGTTGAACACCCATATATTCATCACCTACACTCAACAACTGTTAATATTTCACCATGTTCACTGTATCTATCTATAGTCAGTCTAATAAACAGGATGGTTCCATCTTTCACCTTTTTTCTTTTTTTTTTTCCATCTTTCACCTCTTTTCACAATTAAAGTCCAGCCCCCCATCCATCCTCCTTAGCATCCCCCTCTCCCCACCACCACTCCTGTTTCTCCCCTGTTCATCAAATCCCTATAGAAGCCTTTCCACTCTTAGGAATCCCAAGTTTGTTGTGAGTTCCAAATAAACGTTACTCATATTTATTTGTGAGTGCATTGTGTCATCTGTCTCAAATCCAAATAAATTCCTGGGTGCACAATCACATCTGCCTTTGGGTGGACTGACCAAAACAGATATTTACTTATTACAAATAATTTTGTTTTGGTTGAGCCATTTCAAAGTAAGTTACAAACATCATAGGTACTTTAGCATCTCTTAAAAATGACATTCAAAAAATAAATAAGGACATTCTTGGGGCACCTGGGTGGCTGGCCACGGACTCTTGATTTCAGCTGTCATGATCTCAGGGTCATGAGATGGAGCCCGAAAGCTCTGCGCTCAGTGCACAGTCTGCTTGTCTCTCTTCCCCCCCACCCCTCACCCTTCCCCTCCCCTCTCGTGTACACACTCTCTCTCTCTTTAAAATAAATAAAATCTTTAGAAAATAAAAATAAGGGCATTCTCCAATATAGCTTCAATACAATCACCACATCAACAAACAACAACAAAAAAACCAATTCCCCTTATATCAGCTAATACCCAATCTATATTCAAATTTCCCCAGCTGCCCCCAAAATGTCTTTCATAACTTTTTTTTTAAGATTTTTTTAATTTATTTTTATTTATTTATTTATTTTTAATTTATTTGAGAGAGAGAGAGACAGAGCTAGCGACAGAGAGCGCAAGCAGGGAGGAGAGGGAGAAGCAGGCTCCTTGCTGAACAGGGAGTCCCACAACACAGGGATCAATCCCAGGACTCTGGGATCATGACCTGAGCCCAAGGCAGATGCTTAACCAACTGAGCCACCCAGGCGCCCTCATAACTTCTTTTTAATTCAATCAGGATTCAAAAAGGGTTCAGATGATTGCAGCATGATTCCTTTAGTCTCTTTATTCTAAAACGACCACCCCCCCAACACTCCATATACATCATTTTTATTTTCTATAACACTGACTTTAAGAAAATGGGCCTTACAAAATGTTCCATATTGTTGATTCTATTATTTCTTAGTAGTATGACTTGTTCTTGTAGTTACTGTATTTTCTTTAGCTGGAACCTCAATCGAATGGTCTGATTAAATTCAGGTTAAACACTTCAGGTAACTCAGTAAAATTCATATTGTATCATATCAGGAGTACATAATGTCAGGTGGTTCCAATGTTAATGACACACCAAGCTTGACAACCTTGCTGTTAACATTAAGATCTCTACTTTATAAAATAAATCTTTTCCCTACAATTAACAAAGTAACCAATGGATAAGCTATTCTGCAGATGCACTGTTCCACATCAATATATCACCTAACAGCTAATAATATTCATGTATGAATGACGATTTTGGTAATAAATAAAATTTTGTATAATTATGTGCTATGGTTGATTCTGTAATTGCAATCCAAGTGCTTTCAGATGTAAATACACTGAAACATACAGACAGCAAATAAACATCACAAAAACCTCCAAAATTCAAGTGGCAATGCTGATATCAAACAACAGAAATGCTGAAACTCCAATTAATAAACAAGTAAAAACTGCAGAAGTATTCAATCTTTTGAATAATGGCCATATATGCAGGAACAAAGATCGCTTAAATTCTACAAAATTTTACTCATAATATGATATCGGTAAATATTTGATGATTTTCATTTAGCTATTTCAACTATTTATATGACAAACATGTACTTGTAGGCTCACTTCTTCTTGAACCACCTCACCATACTTCAATCTAAAAATGAAAATCAACCAACAACCATAATTATCATTGAAGGTGATCCAAGAAAACACAATTATTTGATAATATGAATAGAATTATTTTTAATTGTAAATTCAGTGAAAGAAATTCATACATTTTCAATAGGACAGAGCAAGATAACATATATTTTATGCATTATATAAGTTATACTATGCCCACTTATTAGAGTTTTAATTAGGTTATCTCCAAAGAGTATCAATTAAACAGGGGCCAATAATATCAGTAATCATTCTCCAAAATACATTTACCATTACCTCTCAATTACAAATGTTACTATAGAAAAGCTATAAGACTGACAGAGGTAATAAACTACCCTACCCCCATTCAAACATGGATATGGCTGATATACTGATATTTATAATCAAAGCAACAAGACCACTACAGAGAACTGATTCAGAATGTTTAAAAACTGTTCACCTTCACAATTACATCATCTTATTTAACAGCACTTTTGCTCTTTCACTCCATTTTACAAAGGAACAATAGCATATCACAAATTAATAGAAAGCACCAAGCTAAAAACAGAACTAGCTCACCCTCAATTTAAGTAGAAAACTTATAAACACTGTCTAACAATTTTGGAATATGGTCAAGAGTCAATAAAAGAGTTTAAAACATTATGCTTAGGTTTTGTTGCCTATAGTCTTAAATATGCCTCTTCCCCCAGGATACATAATTGAGTGAATGTAATTATTTTTCCCCTTCCTCAAACATGACTGCCCATTCCCTCTCTTCTCAACCACACAATCAGTCCTCATATCCAAGTCCCGCCCATATAGGTTTATTATAGGAAACAACTGTAACATGTTGAAGACAGAAGCAATTCTGAATAAAAGCAAAAGATGTGCTAAAGGAAAAGGGAATATAATAACTCTAATATATAATGAATAGATAGATCTTTAAAACAAAGGTATAAAATTTATGTATTTTTACATAAACAACTACCATGTTCCAGTAAGAATTAAGGCTACTGAAGTACAGAAACACCTTGCTTTATACAACAAAAATATTCTTGAAATAGTTCTCATTAAGTCACGGTTGAAACATACTGAGATAACTATTTAGGAACCTTAAGAAAGAACTGTTTTGTACTCAACTAGTCCTCCACATAACTATTTTGTATATTCATAATTTACACAATAACAAGTGTTTTTAAGGTAGGATCTCTGGGTAATGGTTGTAATTTTTTAAAGTCCCCTTTTATATAGATTTGAAAAGTAAAATATTAAAATCAGGTAAAATACTGAAATGGTGTGGAGGGGGGAACAAGATTACTCCTGGTCATTTTTTTGCATCACATTTTTTCACAGCTAAGCAATGCCACAAGTCTAACAATATCTAGAGAAATTAATTAAATCAAATAGTGGGGGCGCCTGGGTGGCTCAGTTGGTTAAGCAACTGCCTTCGGCTCAGGTCATGATCCTGGAGTCCCTGGATCGAGTCCCGCATCGGGCTCCCTGCTCGGCAGGGAGTCTGCTTCTCCCTCTGACCCTCCCCCCTCTCATGTGTTCTCTCTCATTCTCTCTCTCTCAAATAAATAAATAAAATCTTTAAAAAAAAAAAATAATAAAAAAATAAAATAAATAAATAAAATCTTTAAAAATAAATAAATAAATAAATAAATAAATCAAATAGTGGCTTTTTCATAAAATCTTTTCTAAACAACCTGCGACAGAGATATATGGCTCAAGCTTAACACTTTATAAGTAACCTTGGTATTTATTTAATTTACAAAAGATGAGAAAATAATTTTCTCTTGAAAATTTGTATACACCGTTAGCTCTGTTAACAAAATTTATATTCATACGTCTTAGACCAAAAAAATCCATGTGACTTTTCTTGCCTACATCTATACTTTGGTACATCAGATCATTCTCAAAACTGAATTCACAAAATCTGCCTATTTTAGATTTACTTACCCCAGCAAGACATTTTTCCAGTGTATCCAATATAATCAACTGAGAGAGATATAAATTTTTTTCAGCAGCTTCTCCAAATATTCTCTAAAAGAAAAGATATTCAGAACACTAAAAGTTGGCTATTACTCTCTACTACAAATCAACACACATCTGAAAAGTGAGGGACTAAGGATTAGGAAAAAAAAAAATCAAGTCTTCCATTTTATCTCCCAGATTAGACTATATTTAAATCTATTATTTCTGATTTTATCTTAAGGCTCACATGAAATAAATTCCCAGGCAAACAAAAATGTTGGCATTTATTATAGTCTATCATTAATCTTATAAAGTAAAAGAAAATAACTTTGGTTTATACTTTTAAAATATACAGGATTTAGATATACATATAGATCTTAACCAGAATCTTGCATTGAACATTTAACCACACTTCAATGCCACAAAATAATCAAAGTCTCAATTCTTACAGCAACAAAATACTATAACACCAATTACAGTGAATTTAAGGCATTCGCAATCCTTAAATTTAATACTATGCTATTTACCAACAAGAAACTATGGTTCCCACAATTAAGTTTACTCAATAAGCACTAAATGAATGCCAGTATCACAATACTGCTTTTGTTTTTGTTTTGAAAAGAAGGTTCCAATACTAAAATATTTTCATCTAACTGGGAACACAGCCACATATATTTATATAAGCAAAATCCTATCACCAGGCCCCACACACTGTGCAACAGAAGAGCACCACAAAATCTTAAATGTATTTCTATAAAGCATTTTACATATTCATAAGAAGTCCTGCTTTCTTCAGAAAAAAATCTTAATTTTTTTCTATAAAGAAAAAATTTCTTTGTATGGCAAATGATTGCCCACACCTTCAATTTACCAATTTTCTAAGTTTGGGGCATTGTCTAACCAAATCTTTAAAAAGAAAACACACCAAAGATGTGACTGTAAAAATGGGACTGATTTTCACAATCTAAAATCAGAAGTCAGCTCAAAGCTCAATACAAACAATATAAATTGTGGTTAGAAGTGCTAAAGACAGAAAAAACAGTTCGGAATAAATCAAGAAATATCCAAATAGTTGTTTTGAACTGAGTATGAAGGAGATGTTAGATAGGAACTGACAGAGGAAGGAATCACCCAAGAGAGTCGGGACAAATGATAATGTTGAAAGGTACAGAGACAGAACTGTTGGAGTAACTTGAAGTCTAGAGAATGTAAATAGGTTTTATAAAACAGGAAAAAAAGGCAACTGCGAGCTTTTGACAATGGAATTACTTGTTGAAATTGCTATTTGAGGAAAATCATTTCAACAATGGGATCTCTAACTACTACAGAATCTGTCACAGGTTACAGGAGGAAGGAAATAAAACGGTATCTTCATAAAAGCAATCTCACATTTTAACACTACAAGGTCCTATTTTATTTTCTGTCTACTTAGGACTAGGACAATCTAATAAGTAAATACTCAAAGCAGCAGCTAAGGAAAAGATTTTAATAGTTTACTATGTAATCAATTTATATGTAACCTAATGTCTGTATGAAATCCTAATTCCAAAAAAATAAAAAGAAAAGATAGGGTCACAAATAAGAGAAGTATTTAAGAGAAAAAAATCAAAAACTAAAATGAAAGTTAAGGGTTACCTGTGCTCATTCACAAAATACAATGAGTGTTTATATGTTTATATTCAGAGTCCACAGAAAAGGACTTTCCATACTTCAAAATATGCTGCTTTAAATCAAAAACAAACCAAAGGAAATTCCCCCACGAAACAATGACCCAAATACTCACCATATTGTTAACATTCTTTAAGATAGTGGTGAGGCCGCTGATAACCAAAGAAAACTTGTATTTGGAAATATTAATAAGACATTCCTTGTTGTGTTCAGTACTGACTTTGGTATGCGTGTTCTGTTGTCCTGTTTTTATTGGAAGCTAAGGGAAAAAGAAAATGTTAGCTTACACATGAAAACGACTAAAAAGAACTATTTCTCATTGAAACTCGTGAGATTTTAGGAAAATTTTTATCAGCCACAGTGACCTGTTTGTATCTCAAGCTCCAATTTTCAATACAGATTAGCATTTATAGCAAATCTAAAACTCTTGAAATTTCAATTTTTGCAACTTTCTTTCCAGAAGTCGTAAACCTCTACCTACAAAATTAAAACTTTACCCAGTATTACATAAGAGAGATGATGACTCACAGAAATAGAGCTATTTCCTTGTAGCTAAAAATTATTTCAGAGAATGCCCGCAATAAAATGCATACAATCCTTTCCCTAATACACTGAACTCCAGCATTAAAAGAACAACAGATCAAGAACATCTATGCCCCAGACCTCTAATCAATATGGCAAGTAACTGTAGATTTTTCAGAAATGAGAATAAGCTATATAACCTGGAATAAACACAGTAAGACTAATTCAGGTAAGATGACCACCCTCAGGTACATAGTTGAGAGTGTAACAGAACAACAGACAGGTAAGTTTCATAGAAAAAAAAAAATCTTTTAAGGGGACCACATTTACATTTATCTGAGAATGAGTTAAGTCACACTGCCAAGAAGTTCATCTCTACGCTGTTCAAAAGTAGCATTTTGTATTGAAAGCATCATGAGTATATCTACTGTTTAAATATTAGATCCTGCTAATGCTGAGAGAAGACTTGTGAGGTTCCTCTGCGAAAAAACAAACCTAAGTCCAGTTACTCAGAGAAAGCAAGTGAGAGAGAGAGATCATGACCTGGGGGCGGGTAGAGGGAGAGGGAGAAGCAGACTCCCCGCTGAGCAGGGAGCCCAATACAGGGCTCGATCCCAGGACCCTGAGACCATAACCCAAGCCGAAGGCAGACGCTCAACTGACTGAGCCACCCAGGTGCCCCCAGCGTTTTCATTTTTAAAATGGTGCAACTTAAAGTGGAAAGAGACTAAGTGGCATGCCCAAGTTTGTCTAGTCAGTTAATAACAGATGACTGATTTGATAATAAATACTAAATAAAAGAGCGGAAGCATTTTTAGGGTTTAACAGGAGCTACAGAATTACATAATGTTAATTTTAAAGGTTACAGAGGGGAAAAAATCTGAAAGACCTAAGAAAGGAGAATTTTAGAAGAAGGCAGTGGCTGTAGTGTAGCTTGTAAATCTCCCCAACTCGCTCTGTAATGGTTAATTTTATGTGTTAACTTGACTGGATCATAGGATATACAGATATTTGGCTAAACATTATTTCTGGGTGTGTTTCTGAGGGTGCTTCCAGATGCAATTAGCATATGAATAGGTGAATTCAGTAAAACGGGACAAGGCACCCCACAAAGCCCAAAATACAAGCAAATAGGAACAAACCACTTTCAGCTACAAAACTGGTGTGGTATAAGCATCTCTGCAAAAGAAAGCAGAGGGAAGCAGAATGTCTGATGGATCTGACAAAAGGAAAATCCCAAAATTCTATGCCATTCTCAATGAAAAGTACAACAGGCCATCTTAAGAACATTAGCTGACCAAAAAAAAAAGAACATTAGCTGAAACACAGGGTTTTTTTTTTTTGGTATATTGCAATTTTCACATGAGTACAAAAGGTCTATAACAATGCCTGAAGAGAAGAGAGCATACTTTAAATCACCACTACCTAAAAGAACATTCTGCAGTGATATACTATATCAACAATGCTCAATATAGTAGCCATAGCCACAGGTGACTATTAAGCACTTGTTACATGGCTAATGCAGATGAGGAATCAAATGTTAACTTCTATTTAATTTACTTAAATTTAAGTAGCTATTGGACACCAATGGGCAGCACAGTTCTAAACTAACCAGCTGACGAAGCACCCCATTTTAGGATGAAGCCCACACCGAGAAGAAATTGATGAGATTCACTCCAAATTGACAACAGGGGCACAGGAAAAAGGTCTAGATAAAGGTGGTAAAGAGGAAGAAAGCTAAAGGAGCTCAGAAAGGATGAGATGATGTATTTGTTTAATTTCACGAAATAGAAGAGCTCTAGAGCCATGAAGATAAAGAGCTATCCTGGCTCACATTTCCCTCCCACCAATTCAGGAAAACTAATTTCACATAGAAATGAGCAACAGTAGGGGCACCTGGGTGGCTCAGGCAGTTGAGCATCTGCCTTTGGCTCAGGTCATGATCCCAGGGTCCTGGGATGGAGCCCCGCATCAGGCTCCCTGCTTGGCGGAGCCTGCTTCTCCCTCTCCCTCTACTCTTCCCCCTATTTGTGCTCTCTCACTCTCTCTGTCAAATGAAAGAAAGAAAGAAAAAAAAGAAAAGAAAAGAAAAAAGAAATGAGCAACAGCATGGGGCACCTGGGTGGCTCAGTCAATTAAGTGTCTGACTCTTGATTTCAGCTCAGGTCATGATTTCAGGGTGGTGGGATTGAGCCCCACATGTCTGGATCCACATTGGGCTTGGAGCCTGCTTAAGATTCTCTCTCTCCCTCTCCCTCTGCCCCTCCCCCCACCAAAAAAAATGAGCAAAGAATGTGGTCAAATCATATGTGAAGCTACTATGAGAAAAAAAATAAGACAGAATAACATTGCAACAGAAAATGAGAGTGTGCCCAAAAGTCATGTTTCAAGCAAGGTACTTCTGTGGAGGGAAAGAGAAACCATCAGAAATATGGGTTGACAGTGAGGGCTTAAGTGACAAAACTGAAGACATGAGGCGGCCTCAAATGCATAACTGGTGGAAAAGGTTTAAAAGCTAAGCCAAAAACTTCTGAGAAACAAAGCAGAATTTCAAAGTCTCACAACCTCAGGAAGACAAAAGATTAGAGTTCAGAACCTGCTAGTGGAGGAAACCTAGAAAATAAACCCATTTTCAACTATAAGCTCCAGAGGGCTACATCCTACATAAACAGGGGTAAGCTGCAGCAACTGGAATTCTTTTTTTTTTTTTTTAAGTTTATTTATTTATTTAAGTAATCTCTACACCCAACGTACGGCTCAAACACACAACCCTGAGATCAAGAGTTGCAAGCTCTTCCAACTGAGCCAGCCAGGCACCCCAGAAACTAGAACTCTTATACATTACTAGTAGGAGTGTAAATCTGTAACTTTTTTGAAAAATGTCTGACATTATCTACTAAAAAAAATATATACATTCTTAGCAATTTCACTAGGTATATACCCAACAGAAATATGTACGTATGTCCACCAAAAGATATGTGCAAAAATGTTTATAACAGCACGTTAATAAACTGAAAACACTCCAGGTGTCTACCAATAGCAGAAATGGTTTTTTAAAAAGCAGTATATTTAAAGAAAAACTATATAGCAATAAAAATAAATGGCTTACAACTGTAAGCTTAATCTCAAAAACATGAGTGAAAAGTCAGAACAAAATATCACTTATTGTACGATTATGTTACATAAATTTCAAAGACATGATAAATTCAAGTCAGGATAGTACAGACCCTTGGAAAGAACAGGTAATGACTAGAAGGAAATGTAGGAGGAAGGACTGCTAGCACTGTACGGTTACACTAGTGTGTCTACACTGTCAACATTTATTAAGCTGTATATTTGCATATATTTGTGCATCCTTCTATATGTTTAAGTCAACACAAAGTTTGTTAAATATATGTATTTAAATCCATGAGTTCATAATGATACTAAAAAACAAACAAATTTTGGAACAAATGAAACCCAAATCTAGGAGAAGCAAGGTAGTAATAAAGATAATCACTCTTAGAGGATACAGAGGAATTGTAGTACATACTATGGCACTCCCCAGCTCCCCTTCTTGTTGCCTTAATTGCTAGAAGTGCTCAGTCAGTCCTTCAGGGATTGCCTCACCTGCAGAGAATGACCCTACCCAAGGTCAAACTCTTCCTGGGCAGCCCACCACCCAATGACCAACTGATACAGCAATATAAAGGCCTAAGGACCTAAGCCCAATTCTGGGCAACTCAGAAGGGCCAATTCTAGCACCAGAGCTCCCAAAAGGGGTTGGCCAAAGCTAACACTGGACCTGCATTGCACCATGAATTCTGCATCTGCCCAATCCTCCCTCCTCCCAGGTGTTAATCCCAAAGGAACACCTTAATGAACTTCCTGCACTAGGCTTCCAGGGCAGCTGGTTGCAGATGCTAAGAAGGGATTTTAAAGCTGGCAAGGGAGGAAAAATAGTAACTACAAAAGCAATGAAATTGAAAGAGTATTACTAAAATCTTTGCTCTCTGGAAAAAAGATAACACTGCCAATCAGAAGCTAAGTATGAAAGCCAAAAGGTCTCTCTGGAAGCATATAAAGACAGTCTCCTCTCTTGTAAAATGAGGACAGAGAAACCTAAGGACCAGAACCAACACTTAATTATCAGAGTTGCTGGGCTTCAAAGGTTAAATTCCCTAGAAGGCAAGTCTGCTATGCCAAGACCAGAGCCCTGAGGAGAAAGAATAAGACTCTGACAGATGTAATGGAAACAAGTGGGCTGTGGGCCCCAAATCTCTTATTTCCAGGTTCCCCTGAATCCTCTCAGTCTACAGTAGTGGCCCATTACTGCTTAGTAAGAGGAGCACTTCGCAAACTTGTTCGAAGACAATTCAAAGGCTTCTGCCCTGAAAGACAATACATGTTCCCCTCAGGATTTGCCACCACCTCCTCTGCTGGCCAAAGGGGTATGAGAGAATTCTCTGAGTGTTGAAACTTCTTATATCTTGACCATGTTGATAGTTACATGAATAGATGCCATTTAAATGTCAAAACTCAGAATTAAGCTGGTATAAATGCAAATGAGAGTGTTGTAACATTAGGATGTTAAATGTAATCCCCATGGTAACCACAAACAAAATAGCTGTAGAATACACAAAAAGGACATGAGAAAGGAATTTAAACATTTCACTGCAAAAAATAAATACAAATGAAGACAGTAATGCAGAAAATGAGAGACCAAAAAAGCTATAGGGCATAGGGGAACCAATAGCA